GAATGGAAGTATTATCTTGTGCCAAAGTGTTTAACTGTCTTTTAATTTGTACAGGGGCTTGCAAGCTAAGAGTCTATCCTAATTTTCAGAGGAGACCTTGGACTTCTTAGCAATGCTGAAACTGCTAGGACTTTGACAACTCTTAGGGATGGACTAAACGCTTTCTGTGTAAAGGGATGGGCATGAGTCCTTGAGGCCCAGAGACAGAATGCTACGGCTGGGTCCGGATATCCCCCTAAGCCTAATGCAGTCGTAGGTGGGATTTTTCAGGAATAGCTGGATCTAGAGTGTGTGGTGCTGATTAAGGGTGTGTGATTACTAAATTAGCCCATTGATTAGCTTGGCACAGTTCTGGGCAGGATTAAGGGTTCCTCACACTGGGTGTGAGCACTGCCCACCTTTAAGGGTGGATAGGCTGGATAAGATATAAGTGGTAGGAGGAGGGTCATGGGTTGCTTGCTGCCACTTGCCTTCTGCCTGCCTGGCTTTGCCCTGAACTGTTTCTGCTCTACAATGTTTTTCTGTCATGACCCCTTCCTTAGAGCCAGTCAACTATGAACTGAAACCTCTGTACACTGTGAGCTAAATACACCTTTCCTCTTTTAATGTTGGGTGTCAGATATTCTGTCTCAGCTATGTGAAAAGTAAGACACCTTACCCTCCAAATAGATTTATTTATTTGCAGAACCAGGGATTGAACTCAGGCCCTTCTACTTGACAGGTAATCGCTTATTCTACTGAGCTATCTCCGTAGCCCCAGATACATATTTTTTAAAGCCATCCTTCTGAGTTTACTCTTATAGTTACAAAATCAATTTTATGTTTTGTCACTTGCATTTCAGCTTAGGGGAAAAAATGATGAATTCAATTTGTGATTCAGCAATGTTTTTTATGTCTTACAGGTAAAAATACATATGGTCATTACCCAGAACCCTAAGAATAAAAATACACAGACTGACTATTAGAATAATATTACTTCAAGGATTCAAGTCTTACTTACAGAACAAAATAATTTTGGTCTAATAGCAAAGACTGATTTAGTAAGGAACATCTTGATGAGAAAGGGTAAAGCTGCTGAGAGCGTTAGCCTACTTTTACACTGACTTTCCTGCTCTAAGCATCTGTCAAGTGTGGGATGAGAAAAAGGTGCTGGAATCTGGAGAGGCAGACTGGAATAAAAATAATTTGGCTCCAAGAATGAGAGGTAGGGGAGGAGAGAGGAAAAATGGCAAGAGGAAAAATGCCACTGGAAAATTTATAAAAATATAAAAAGAAGCTGTTAAAAACATCTCTGCTCATTTCTGTTTACAAGTAAGTTGGCAAAGCATTTCTTCAATTCTTTAATCCTCTCTAATCTTTTTTCTCTCTTTCCCTTATTTACACCACCTACAAACATTTCTGAAATACATCTCAGTTCCACTGCTCTGACCTGCACCACGAGAACCACCATAGTCTAAAACCACTGGTTTCTTATGGAACTAGCATAAACCAGCAACTAGGACTTAATGCCACTTTTCCAACTGTCCCTCTTTGATCAACTGTTTACACCATCACCATGTAATCTTTCTTTTTTTGTTTTTTTCCTCCCCTGGAACTGGGGGTTGAACTCAGGTCCTTGCAAGCACCTATTCTACTGAGCCATCTCCCTGGCTCCACCATGTAATCTTTAAAAATGTAAAAACTAGGTGATGGACTGCTTAATAGTTCCATGGCTTGCTAATGCACCTTCAAATTAAACTCTAGCATTTTGTTAGTATAAACTAATAATTTAAATTACTAAAAAAGTGTTTTTAACAGTGCCCAGAATATCACACATGGTCAACAAATGCTAGCTAGCATAACAATATATGACCTCTGCCCGCAGCTCACACTGTGAGGCAACATGCTCTTTACCTGCTGCTGAGGGTTCTCTCCCTTAGCTTCAAACTCGTTTCCACTTTAGGCCTGCTGTTTATCTCGGTAATGTTTTTCTCCCAGGCAAAACAAGTGCTTCTGTTTTTCTTCATAGAGCAAGTCTCAACTTAAATGTTATACTGGCAGATGATGGCTTAATTCCCCATTTTCTAAGTACTATACCATCTTCTATAATTCTTCATTATATTATTTATATCCTTCTAGTTTTATGTTTCATAATTAATATTTTGTTTCAGTGGTTAACTCTTCCTTGAACATTGTCAAATGCTTCAGTGTCCATTTAATACTAAGTTGCTTAAAATAAGAAGCACTAGTTTTTGGTCTATCTAGAACAATCTTAACTAATATAAATATATATCACTTCTCACTAATCTAAATCTTCCTTTGTAATTCAAACTGAAAATCTTGTGTTTAAACATAAATGCAATAAAGATTTATCTTTTAAAATCCACATATTTCGAAGTTTACAATTACTTGTGAATTACAATTACAATTACTTGTAAATGACTTGTGGATCATAGGTCTTGGCATAAAAAGGCAATCATAACAGAAAATGCCTAGATCTTGGAAAGAACTTATATGTACATCAACAAATGCACGGATAAAGAAATGTAGTATTTATACACAATGAAATAGTACTCTGCCATAAAGAAAAACAAACTTCAGACACTTGTATGAAAATGGATGCACTTTGAGAACATAAAGTTCAGTGAAATAAATGAGAAACACAAGCTTAAGTATCTCCCGGTTTCTCTTATATGAGAAAGTCAAAGTATAAAGGGCAAAATGAAAGACTGCTAATGTGAAGTAGGGGGATAGATCTTTTTCAAAGGGCAAGGAGGTCAAGAGATGGAGGGAGGGGGCAGGGAAAAATAAGGGAGAGATGGGATGGGGTGAAAGAGAGAGCTGAGATGAGTTAGCGCACAGACTAACTCCAAAGAAGCCATGATAATAACACATTTTAAAAACTGAAAATAGATCAAGGCATGAATTTAGAGTCACCAAACTATAGCACCTTGAGGCACCTGAAAAAATACACAGGCAAATAACCTTGGACTAACACATTTCTATCTGGGGCCTCAAAGAATACTCACAAATATTTTTTCCAGGAAAAATAATCACTTCACAGTCATAACCCAATAGAGGATAAAAGAAGAGAAACCTGTTCACATGGGCACAGCATATTTTTTAAAGGCCTATGATAACAAACAAAATGAAAAAAGGAAAAACAAACCATTTGCAATAGTAACAAAAAAATCACAATGTAAAACAATAATCTGATAATTAAGTCGAGGAGAAGATTTAAGTACTTTTAGAGAGAAAAAATACCTTTACCAAAAATATTTTCAAATATATAAATAAATAAATAGAAACATGTGTCATGGTCATGGGTAAAGAAGGCACAATACCTTAACATAATGGAAATAAATTAAATGTATCCACGGATCCAAAGTTGTAAGGATCTTGGACTCACAAAACAAGGCCCACTTTTTAAATAGCTTTTGAGTTCTTAACAAATGATAATTTTTGCAAAATGATCTGTTCATGGTATACATTTTGCAACTGATGTGTATTAGTCACTGGCATGTATTTTACTTTACATCTGTGTAAAATCTGAAGGAGCACTGTAGCATTCCAACAGCTACACTAAACAAGTATGGATGAATTCTAGTTGAACATACTGTGGCCCTATTGATTCAAAGGTCAGTCAGGATCCAGTGAGATAGCTCAGCGGACTAACACCCTGCTTTGGCAAGCACAAGAACCAGGGTTTGATCCCTGGTATCACATGCTGCACTGGCCCCGCCCCCAGGTGCACTGAACTGGTGACCTCATGTTCTGTGTGCATGACTCTTTAGCTTAGCTCATCAAATTCACTCTTTCCCTGGCCTGGACACAATGCAAAAGCTATGCTGTTTTTTGGTTAAATACGGTCTTCAACAGCTCATGAAAAACTCAAGAGAGAAAATAAGCCTGTCAAACCCAAGCCATGAATTAAAAAAAAATCCAGGCCAGGAATCCTCTAAAAGATATAACACTCATGGAATCACTGGAAGAGTCCAGACAAGATGGCGCACACCTATAATCCTAGTGCTGGGAAGGTTGAAAACAAGAGGATCACTACAAGTCTGAGCTGCACAAATATATAAATTTTTTAAAATACGTCTCTTTGCAAAGGTCAGTCACTATACACATTCATTGTAAGTATAAGCTCTGATTACCACTCTTGCAAGTGATGAAATATTACCAACATTTTACAGAATACACAGTTTTCATTCCTTGTAATTATTGCACAACAATGCTAAATACCACCTCTTTAAAAGTCACTGAAAAATTTACACATTTATTTTGAGAAGCTGCACTATCAAGAGTAAAACAGAAAAAGTACATTTGCAACAATGTCCGTTGCTTAGTGTACTTAAATATGGTCTTTATAGCCACAAGGTCCCTTATCCAGATGAGACTTCTAAACAGCTGTCCAATGTGTTTTACATAGTATCTAATCTTGGTCAAATTTATTCTAGATCTAATTTATACAAGTTTAGTTTTGGTTTATGTAAGTTTTGTGATCCTCTGCATTGCTACTTAAACTTTGCTTTATCTAAGTTTTCTAATAAAGAGTTAGGAATAACTATAATTTGCTTTATTAGTTGTTAAGATACAGTACTTGTAGTTGGCACTAACTGAATGTTCACTATGTTCCAGGCACTATTATATTATTTTACATATAGTAAATCATTTAATCTTTACAACAATTCTATAACACTATCACCATTTTACAGATTGGAAAATTGAGACATAAAAGTTAAGTAACATTTCTATCGTTACACACATGGAGAAGCTTAAACAATTCATTCCCAGATAGTCTATCTCTAGAACTCCAACTTTTAGTTACTATATTACACTATGTTTCACAACACAAGATAAATGAAAATTTTATGCGGGAGAAAACAACCTCACCATTGAAATCCACAAGTGTTAAATTCAATTAAGTAATACTAAGACCATTACAACTTGGAGCAGACTGAATTTCGCAACTCTTGCCAAGTGCCATGGCCAGGATTAAGTGTTGAAGCTGGACAGACCTGGCTCTGCACCTTTGCTGCACCCGTCAGAAGCTGTATCACTTTGGACTTTGGGCAACTTTGGTAACTTCACCAAGCCTCAGTTTCCTCATCTGTAAAAAAAATAATGAACATCTCATAAAATTGTTAGTACTACAGCTATTGCTGCATTAGACCAAAATGGCAAAGCCAAACAAAATACAGGTACATAAAATATAAAAAGGCTTTACATCGAGGGTTGGATGAAATGCTCAATTTTCTCCTAGAAAACAACATTTTGTTTTAATGCTGCAGTGAAGATGACACCAAATCACTGCAGCAACTCTAAGATCCCCACACTAATATAGAACACCCTCCTCTAATACAGAATAATTACCTTAGTTAAAAGTCAAAGCCTAGAAGTAAATCACTGAGCATTCAAAATATAGTAAATACACAAAGAAAGAGAAATGATAAGACACTGTTGTTTTTTTTTTTTTTTTTTTTTTTTTTTTTTTGGTGGCTGGCTCAACCTGCCTCGGGGGCAGGCTGGTGTGGCATGTGGTGCAGAGGATCAAACTGCGGTCCCTGCAGTTGCCTAAGCTTGCCAAACAGGAGCTTTAGACCACTGAGCTATCTTGCCAGCCCTAAGTTCTAGGTTCTTTTTTTTTTTCTTTCTTTCTTTTTTTTTTTTGCCAGGGAAGTGCTTATTCCACTGAGCCATCTGCCCACCCGACCCCCAAATTCTAGGTTCTTTTTTTTTTTTTTTTGCTCTGAATGTCTTCAGGGCAGGTTTGGCCGGCTTGAGTTGTGGGGATCAAACCACAGCAACCTGAGCCTGACTACTTTGTTGAAGCAGCCACTTAAAGAACTGAGCTAAGGGGCAGGGCCCCTCTAGGTTCTTATAATCAAGAATTCTTTTAAAACTTTGATGGAAACTAAGAAAGGTGCAAAATGCTACATGTCTTCAGAGAAAGTTGAGATTAGTAAACTAAACGGAAGAAATGAAGAAAGACTTCATGGAAGATATAGCACTTGAAAAGTGAGATTCCTTTTTTTTTTTTTTTTTTTTTTTACGTGACACCAATTTTATTTCACTGAGAAGGGTTTGTAGGCATGGGCCTATCTTGTCAGGTCCTGGAGCCTTCAGCTTCTCACTCGGCCTTTGGGTTATAGAACTTTCATCAGCAAACATGGCCTTGTCCCCAGCAGCCTCTCTGATCCTCATGAATGGGTTGTACTTGGCAGGCACTCTTAGCAGCACGGGGCACCAGTCTTGATCTGACTTGTGCAGAGCCCCGCCACGAGGTCAGCAATGCATGTGTCCCTAGTCTCCCCAGAGTGGTGGCTCGCCACCACCCCCAGCCATTAGACTGAGCCAGTCTGCAGGCCTGTATGGATTCAGTCACCGAGCCTCTCTGGTCAACTGGCAACAGTAGGCAGTTGCAGGCTTTCTTCTCCACAGCTTATGCAATTCTCAGTTACCATTAAGATGGAGAGTGAGGGCAGGCCAAATACTTCAGTGGATTAAAGTGCCTGCAAGCTGGCACACGGGCCTGGAGTTCCATCCCTGGGCCTGCCATGCCAGCTCCGCCCCAGGGTACACTGAGACTACAATTGAGACAGGGCATGGTGGCGCGCGCCTGTAATCCCAGCTCTTGAGAGGCTGTAAACAGGCGGATCACAAGTCTGATCTAGTAGTGAGACCCTAAACACCCTGTACACGCTTCTCTAAAATACAAAGAAGGAAAAAAAAAGATGGAGAGTGAAAAAAGAAAATGTACTTCAAAAACTGGGAATATTTTCCAAAAGGAAATTTGACAATGCTAGCCATGTCATCATACTCTTTGACAATAGTTATATCAATAGTCAATTGCCATTTATTTTCGAATACAATAAAAGTTTACACTAAGGAACTTGAAAGACAGACTTTCAAGCTTTTGATACTAGAAATTCAACCTAAGCCCTCTGTATATTCCCAAGCCTCTAAAACTTCCAAACAGGGTTTCCTAAGTAAGTAAATTGCCCAGGCTGGGATCAAATTTGTGACCCTCTCTCTTGGCCTCCCAGAGTTCTGGGCTTACAGGTATGTGCCATCACACCTGGTTATTATCTTAACCATCTAAGATCTAACATCACAGATGTGTTCTTTGAATTTTATAAAAAGACTAACACATACTCGTGTATCTATTTTGCTTCACTGAAAATGTTATGAATCTGATCCACAGCGTTGTCTTCAGTATAACCTGTTCTTTGACAGTTCTTCCCTGCTTAATCAACCTTTGATATAAACTGAGAGCAAGCCACGTATGGTGGCTGACATCTGAAATCCCTGCTACTGAGACAAGCTGGCATCTTAGTGAGACCCTATCTACAAAAAAAAGTTGAAGCCAGGCATCTTGGTGCACACCTAGAACCCAGCACTCTATCCTCCTTGCTACACAAGTTTTGCACTAGCAAATATGCAAATATTTGAAAAGCAATAGGGCTGGTGAGATGGCTCAGTGGTCTAAAGCACCTACTTAGAACAAGCTTAGCAAAGCACAGGGACCGCAATTCAATCCCCCAGCACCACATGCCAGCCCGCCCCGCCCCCTTGTGGGCTGAGCTGGCCATACACACACACGTAAATAAATAAATAAAATTAAAAAAAGAAAAGCAATGTTATTCTAAATCTATCATTACCAGTGAAGAGTGCTTATGTCCACTCATACCTGCCATTTACATTAAGTCATCACTACTGTTGTCTTTAAAACCTCAATAAAATAATTATTCAATAATAGCTACATTCCTAACATACCTGACACAACTGTATAAGCTAAAGTCAGGTGCCAAGGTCTCATACACACACTAAGGAGATGCTCTGCTTCTGAGCACCACGATTCCCAGTCCACAAGCAAATCTTAACTTAGCAGTAATGTATGTCTAGTCTATAATCCCAGCACTTGGGAGGCTACAGTAGGAGTAAGCGGCCACACTAGGCTACATAAGTAGTTTGAGGTGAGCCTGGTCTAAATAACAAGTTCTTGTCTCCAATAAATAAATTAGTTAATTAATTAATTAAAGAGTATGCCTTTCTTAGAAGGGGACAATGACTTTAGTAACACAAATAAAAACCTTTAAACAGGAAAATAAAAGAGTCATCCAGATAGCTCAGCGGACTAAAGCATTTGCTTAGGTAGAACGTAGTGGCCAGGGTTCGATCCAGTGAGCCAAGCTAGCCCTACCCCTGAGGCAAGCTGAGACAGTGACTGAGACTGAGTGTGGTGGCATGCATTTGTAATCTCAGCACTTGGGAGGCTGAAAACAGGACAATCACTACGAGTATGATCTGTGTAGTGAAACCCTGTAGACCTTGTACTAAATACGAAAAAAAAAAAAAAAAAAAAAAAGGAAAATAAGTGAGCAACTATACTTGCTGTAACCTTATTGCTTCACCACAGTCTTGTACCACCTCACAGCCACCTTGGGATTTCCCACTGGATCAATATTACCTAAGCAACTACACTCATAATCTTATTGATTGGTTATGGTTCTGTCCCATCTTGCACCCACCTCACTTCATGGCTTTGCTCAATAAAAAAAACCCTTGAGAAGTAGGGTTGGCAGGCAACTCACTCTCCAGGCCCACTTCTGTTCTTCTCAGACAGAAGCTTTCTTTTTCTCAATACATTCTTCCTACTCTTAAAAGAATTTAAAAAATAAAAAAGAAATAAGGAATATTGCATCACAAAAATCTTGTAGGATGTTTGTATTAGCCTGTTTTCTTCTTGCTGAGATGTGATCAGCGAACACTGACAACTTCAAGGAGGAGAGGTTTTATTCCTGGCTTCCATCCATGATCACTGGGTCCAAGACAGAGATGTCACAGCCAAAGGGGTGTGCGGAGCAAAGCTGCTTAGTTTGTGGCAAATGGGAACAAAAGAGGAAGAGTGCCAAAGCAGAGGTGAAGGGCTGGACCCGAGGCCAGATCTCCAGGCCCCACACCTCAAAGTGCACTCCACCAATCCCTGGAGAGGAGCTCAAAGCCAATGAAGATCAAATTCCAGTCTAACCACATCTGTCCTCTTAAAACTTGCTACCCAAACACATCTCCTTACACATGCTTAACCTCCAACTAAAGAAAATAGCAAGTTGATAATTCTGGCTAACAACTGTCCTGATTAAAAGCAGAAACATAATGCCTTTCCCAAAGTCTCAACAGTACCAGCAGTTCTTACAAGTCCAAGTCATTTCTGAGATTCAAAACGAACTGTGAGCTGTAAACATCTGTAAAACTATAAAAGCAAGTTACATAATCCCCAGGTACAGTGGCACAGAGTATACACCTCCATTCCAAAAGAGAGAGAATAGGAGGCTAGAAAAGAATAGGCCCAAGGCAAGATTAAAACTCATACCTCCACATCCAGCACCTGGAGTAGATGGTGGTAAACTGTGAATTCCAATGAGTGTGGGCCACCCTACCCCTATAACTGCCATTTTGGCCCATATAACCTCTCTTTTGGGCTGGTTCTACTCGTGGCCTACAACTCTCCTTAACAGATGTTGCACATTTTTAGCATCTCTGAATTCCTGGGGTGCCCACTGCCCCCTCAGCATCACCAACTGCACTCCCCAGACTTACTTTGAAATGTGGGTGGAAGCCTTTCAGACCCTACAACTCTTACATTCTGCATGCCAGTAAAACCAATGCTTCCTAGGTTTGCTGTCAGGAGGAACAGTAGCTAAGACCCCTGGGATCATGGCAGTAGCAGTCTACAAGCAGCCTCTGGTGCCTGGAAAACTGAGCACACTGAAAAAAACCCAACAGAACCAATTCCCTATATAACTCTTCTCAAACTTGGATCCCTGGGACTCTCTTTTGCAAATGAAAGGTTGATATTTTTGTACCCTCCAGAGTGTGATCTTACCCATCCTGGGATTTCTTCTTGTTCCTATATAAAATACTCGGTTTCTTCTTAATGGCACCAATCTCTTGAGCAGCTACAACACCTCTGACCCCACCTTTACATCTGGCTCCTTTTGGACCAAAAGTTAGCTTTTTCAAGTTGTTTTGTTCTGTCTTTTGTCCCTGATTCTTATAATCTGACTAAAAGCAGCCAGGAATACCCATGCAACAGACTCCTGAAGAATC